TCATTTGAAATCTCGTTTACAATAACCTCTAGCAATCTCACTTACTGGCTGAGTGACACACATCAGTATCTACTCATGGTTAACGAATTCCGAGTCTCGGTCCTTTTTTTTTTTTTCCACCCTGTCTCGGAAACTCAGAGATTTGGTGGGGAGTTCCCCAGAAAGTGCAATATTATAAGGGAAAGGGTGGGGGGCGGGGGGGGGGGGGGGTTAGGGTTAGTATTAGTTCATTTCACACCCTAACACACCTATACTATTAGACTGACCCGTCAACTTCCCACGAAATCTCGGAGTCCCCGATACGGTGTGAAATAAAATAATAGAACCCAGATCTGTTTTTGACTTCTCTTCGATTTCAGAAAATCAAATGCATACTAGAGTACATTCATTCAATATTCACTCACTCACTCACTCACTCACTCACTCACTCACCACTTACCCACTCACTCACCCATTCACTCACTCACCCACCCTCTCCGTTATTACCTACTTGACGCTGTCAGTGCTAAACATGGACCATGGGTAGAGGGCAGCAGCAGAGAATAAGAAAATGGGAAATGTAGCCTCTGAAAGGTTAAGGACACAAGAATGGACACGAACACAAATACTAGCATTCAAGACAGGGTTGGAGCAAGATCTTGATTGAATTGCAGCGACAAGCAGACAATGAAATGGTTTTGTTATATAGTAAGAAAGCAGCCTAACCAAATTGTATGAGGCCTTCTACGGCAGAACATCTATGCGGAAGGCGAGAGGAAGACCAAGGAAGAGATCAACTAGGGTGTATCTGGAACCTGAAAATCCATAACTCAAGACGCACGAGATGAATACAGAAAACCACGATACTGGATCTCAACCTGATGACAGTGTGACGACAACAGAAGAAGAAGAAAAAAGCAAAAGAAGAAAAGAGAAGAAGAAGAAGAAGAAGAAGAAGAAGAAGAAGAAGAAGAAGAAGAAGAAGAAGAAGAAGAAGAAGAAGAAGAAGAAGAAAGTAGAAGAAGAAGAAGAAGAAGAAGAAGAAGAAAAGAAGAAGAAGAAGAAGAAGAAGAAGAAGAAGAAGAAGAAGAAGAAGAAGAAGAAGAAGAAGAAGAAGAAGAAGAAGAAGAAGAAGAAGAAGAAGAAGAAGAAGAAGAAGAAGAAGAAGAAGAAGAAAAGTAGAAGAAGAAGAAGAAGAAGAAGAAGAAGAAGAAGAAGAAGAAGAAGAAGAAGAAGAAGAAGAAGAAGAAGAAGAAGAAGAAGAAGAAGAAGAAGAAGAAGAAGAAGAAGAAGAAGAAGCAGAAGAAGAAGAAAACACCCACTCTCTCAAAGGTTAAATAGCACAATCATCCACTAATTCCACAATTAAGTAGCACATTCATCCACTAATTCAGCAAAAAATGTATCTCATTCATTCACCCACCCAACAATTAATTAGCACATACAGGCGCTCACACCATTAATTACCACTTTCAGCTAATCACTCAATATTAAAAGATCATATTCAACCTACCCCTCTGTATCTGAAAAGAAGTGATGACACAGGTAAGGGAACCTTGTTCTCATCTTGTTGATACTTCTTTGCAATCTACAATACAAAGTAGACATTTCGTAATTTGTTCGTGTGTCAAGGACAAACATAATCCACGGAGAATGGTTATTATTATTATTATTATTATTATTATAATTATTATTATTATTATTAGTATTATTATTTTAATCTAGTTAGGATGTTTAAATATCTAAACGCCCGCATAGCATCAGGTTGAAGATTTACCACAGAGATAAAGAACACAATAATTTAAGTGAGTAGGAAAAATGGCACATCAATTATGTTACTAGTGGACACAGAATTTCAGTCCTCATAAAATATAAGGTAAGCCAGGTTATATATTCATGCCTGTCTGCCTGCCTGTCTGCATGCACGTGTGTCTGTGTGTGAGTGTTTGAAGATGCTTCAACTCTTTTATCAAAAAAAAAAAAAAAAAAATTAGAAATACCATACCTTTTAGAATGTCTTTGAACAATTTAAAAAAGAAAAAAAAAAGGATGTGGAAAAAGGGGAGGGGGGGGGGGGAGAGAGAGAGAAGAAACGTGTTATTCCTAAACAGTTTCGTCAGCCCTGTTCACAGCAAATCTAAACTCTACAAAAGATATCCCAGAATACACTGGCAAGTAAATGTAAACATTTCTTGTTCCCACAATCAAAAGTTGAGGGGAGGGGCGAATGGAAGAAACAGATGAGGGCAGCGAAAGACACAGTGGTATGCAGCGAAAGAAACGGGTACGGGCAGTGAGAGAATTAGAGAAAGGTAGGCGGAAAGAAGTAGGGAAAGCAGCAGGAGAAGACATAAAGAGAAGATTCTGGGCAGTTTTACAACGTGGTATTGAAAGATGGTCACACTTGATGTGACAAGAGGTAACACAATACGACCCTCGCCAAACAATGTCGTTCTCGCCAGTTGTTGATTACAGGTTGTGAAACATAAATGATATTAAAAGAAGAAAAAGAAGGAGAAGAAGAGGAAGAAGAAGAAGAAGAAGAAGAAGAAGAAGAAGAAGAAGAAGAAGAAGAAGAAGAAGAAGAAGAAGAAGAAGAAGAAGAAGAAGAAGAAGAAGAAGAAGAAGAAGAAGAAGAAGAAGAAGGAAAAGAAGAAGTAGAAGAAGAGGAAGAAGAAAAAGTAGAAGAAAATAATGAAGAGGAGAAGCAGGAGAAGGAGAAAATGAATAAGGAAGAGTATGAGTAGGAGGAGGAGGAGGAGGAGAAGAAGAGGAAGAAGAAGAAGAAGAAGAAGAAGAAGAAGAAGAAGAAGAAGAAGAAGAAAAAAAAGAAGAAGAAGAAGAAGAAGAAGAACTTTGATGATGATAAAAAAAAATGATAATAACGAAAAATGAGAAGAAACATATCTACGACAAAACAACCTGATGACCTTACCTCCTTCAACTTAGTGTGTAGTTCAAGGACTTTAGCAGCGTCTGCCGGTTTGTCATATTTTTCGTCTAAATTTTTTACCACGCTTGAAATCAGTTTCATGTTTGTATTTGTGTCTTTGTTGTTAGGAAGAAACCACCAGTGTTTCAAATTTAACTGGGGATGAGAAGCAACACGGTATAAGAAGCAAATGTCTTGTTAGAGTGTGCAATAGTAATAATATTAAAATGCTGAATTGCAAATAGGCGTTGTTACACATCTGAAATAACATGAAATCTGTACACAAACATAGGCTCTGGCAAATCTGGGTCAAATGCACCTTAAGGCTCAAATTTTTCTAAATAATTGGTAAAAATTCACAGTGAGATTTAGTGCCCCCTCCCCCCTCCCACCCCTTTTAAGCATGTCACGATGTTCTCCAGTGTCTCTCTTTTCATTATGAGCTCAAAGAACAGTGTTTGTCTCTTACTGTTGTATATAGAGATCTACTTTCATTAGCTTCTTTCAAGCAATCGTCGTTAGTTACACTGGCCGTCCAAAGTATTCGTAACATTCGTCGCAAAAACCACATCTCTGCTGCTTCAAAATTCTTCTTAATTTGTTCCCTAACACTCCAAGATTCGCTGCCATTCAGTCTAGATTTAGCTTTACGCCCTAGTAAGCACAGCCTCACAATTTGCAACAGCCTCTCAAAAATTCCCCAAAAATTGCAATTTTTAAGAAACATATAACGTTGTAATTGTAACTCAGAGACTTTTAGAGTATAACATAAAGTGCAGTAGCACTTCAATTAACCGTCACTTGTTTAACCATCAGTTTCTGTTATCCGTCATTGTCCTAAATTTTTTAAAAAGGGGCTGGGGGAACAACAGCAATAACAGTCTACAAGTAGCCACTCAAAAGCAGAAACAATGTTATCAAAGTGCATCGACTTGTCTGAAATGCAAGAGGAGGCGAATGCAACACAGATCCTACTTCTGCGTAAGAAACGGAACATGGCCTCGCAGAAAGCTTGAACCTCAAAGACACAGAAGGAGATGACAGATTATTTGAAAGTAACCTAGGTTTATCACCACCCTCCTTTGTGTGCCGTTAGACGTCACATGAGGCTAGTAATCGATTCGTCCACTCCGCTCTAGTACATGCAGCTTTCTCGATTTCTGACATAGAGTTCAGCCCAGCAGTTTTAGCCCCTTTTAATTAAGTTCTTCTTAATGTTTTCCTTGGAAGTTCTCTTTTTCACACACCGTTTGTTTCTCACTTCAATGCTTGTTTTGTAATTCTTTGCTTTTTTCATCTCAGACTGTGCCCACAGATCTCCATCTTCTTTGTCTTATTGTAGTCGATACTGGTATTCGTCCAGACATTTCTCTGATGACCTCACTCATTTTGAATTCATCCCATATTATGTTCAGGATTTGTCTCAGTTGTTTATTTTCAAATGTTTTTAACTTTCGTTCCATATCTTTGGTAGTTCTCCAACTTTCGCTGGCACATGCTAGAACTGAAATAACTTTAGAACTGAAGATTCGTAGTTTGGTCTTAAAGATGTATAAGCTAGAGCTCCATGTTTTGTTAAGGTTTTTAAAGACTTGTTGCTTTTCCAATGAGTATCATAATTTCCTTCGTTGTAACTCTTTGAGAGTAAAAATTGATACCCAAAGAGGGGAAATGGTCCGTTACTTTTATTCGTTTGTTCTCTAGCAGGACATCTATATGATTTGTTGTTGGTATCTTTAATATATTTGTTTTCTAATAACTGACTGACTTTCTACCCCACCAGGACATCACACAAGCGATAAACACCCGATGACACCAAGTGACACCATGTGGATGAGGATCAACGTAGAGAGGTCCCAGAAACCGCGTTCAGACAATTGGCCATATTTATGGCCTGCCTATATTGCGGCCAATGGCAAAAGCCAGAGTGGGACTTCAAAATAAAAAAAAAAGGACGTCCTAAAAAGGACGTAAGGAATAATACTATTTTCATTCTAACAACTTAATGGTAGTCTTTTTGTGTGTGTGATGTTGTTGACAACAAATCGTCTGTTTTTCTTTGCATGTCGAAAGAGTAATTACAGAGTCATTATAAAAAATACAATTGCACGAAAAAAACCGCACTGTGATAAACAAGCAGATGTTGAAGCCACTGCTGGGAGTCCCTGACCTTTAATATTTTGTTGTTGTTATTATTTGGATCCATTTCGACTGTGAGGTCAAGAAAAGGCTGTGTCTGGAGCTCGGTCATTGTGGTCAGTGCATGCATGAGATTGAACTTCTCCTCTGTCCAGTCTGGGGTGATTAAAGGCAAACCTCCCAAGTTGCGCAATGACTGTGACAAATCCTTGATGTTAACAGAGTTGATTTGTGCTGCCAAAAGAAAAAGAAAAAAACAACAACAATATATACGTTTTTAAAAATATATATTTTCATGCAGCACTATTTGTCCGTTCTTAAAATATATTACACCTCAACAATTCTGCTGTAGAGTTTGTATGATGTCATTTTTCTATTTTATTCTTAGTTTACCTCTTGCATTGCGCTCCTCTCCACTTTGATGTTTGCAGCAAGGCATTATTTCTGAGTGGACAAACCATTTCATTTGTCTTTGTATGTAATCTGGTGTTGTTTCCCTGCCAAATTTTTCTCTTGGGACTTTTTCCTTGATTCCATCTGTTCTAATCGTTTTCTCTGCCTTTCTCATTCATATTATTTCCTTGGCTACCACTGCTGTTTCCTGTTTTAGACTTCGGACTGGACACTGTGGTCTTCGAGCACACCTGTACAGGATAGGCATAAAAGAATCTGCTGCCTGTGATTGTGGAGCAGAAAGACAAACCCCTGAACACATACTACAGTACTGCCCTAACCTCTCCCAGCAAAGACTGTGGATCTGGCCCAAGGGAGCCACCTTGAAAGAGAAGCTCTGGGGGACTGGTGGCGACCTTAAAAGCACAATCCTATTTGTGACCCAGACGGGACTCAATGTTTAGCATGACTGATGTCGAACGCAGAAGAAGAAGAAGAAGAAGAAGAAGAAGAAGAAGAAGAAGAAGAAGAAGAAGAAGAAGAAGAAGAAGAAGAAGAAGAAGAAGAAGAAGAAGAAGAAGAAAAAGAAGAAGAAGAAGAAGAAGAAGAAGAAGAAGAAGAAGAAGAAGAAGAAGAAGAAGAAGAAGAAGAAGAAGAAGAAGAAGTTTCCTGAATGTTGAGATTGACCGTGTCTGGCAGTGGTAGCAGTGCAATTGCAAAGTCACGTGGTGTCTGGTGAGGAACATTTGTTGTCACCCACCCCAAACCCCTCTCCTCTTTACACAAGGCACATGTTTGTTGTTGTGGTGGTTGTTGTAATGTTAACATCACAGTTTGATATTACTTTAGACAGTTTAGCCCTTGTCGCAAGCACCCACCTTTGGAAAAGTGTGTGTGTGGAGAAAAGGGGGTGGGGGTGTGTTATACTTTATCACTGCCTCTTAAATTGCAAGCCGTAAAAGGCGACGAAAAAGAGTTAAATAAATCGTTTATGTTAGGTAGAAATGTGCGCCTAATTATAAACAACATAGTTTACAATACGTCCTTTTACCAACACAAGCAGAAGAGGATGCTAATAATATAATTATTATTCTTTACAGCTGAAAAAAAAAAAAAGTTAACAATCATGAAAATGTGATTACATTACTGAAATCTGTCTTACATTCGTTCATGCATGACTTGTAGAAAATTTTAGCCTCCCGAAAACTTCGTAGATTTAAACTGTCTGTGTCTGCCTCCAGGAAATCTGGCAACATAAAAATAGTCAATCAAATTTCTTTGAATATTCTTCCAGTCCATTGTGGCAGATCACTGGTAAACTACTGACGCTATAAAACAGTTTTTTTTTTTTCTAACCTAGGTTTGCTGATGCAAATTCCCCATCTATGGACCAGGAGTCCAAAACTTCCGTCGCCCAGCTACGAAGTTGACTGTTTGGTGTCACACTGCGAGCTGCGAGTTTTATATGGAATGCTTTTTATTTTATTTTGTACCCACGATGGCTTTGTCTTGTAAACTTTACTAAAAAGAATGGTGGGTGCCCGATTACCGTCGAAATGACGTGTACTTATGCAGCATTGCGTGTACAATACCAGCTTTCGTAACTGACTGCCTGCATCACAGTAAGCCGCAATTCTGAAGTGAGACTGTTAGAGTTGTCACATCTGGCATTTATTTTGCATGCGCTAGCTTTAAAATTGTGTCGAGCCTGCATGTTTTTTTTCACTGGGAGAGTGAAGGACGTGTGTGCTTTCTACTGGGACACGAACGAAGCAATGAGCGGGCAACCTTTTTGTACTGAAGTTGAACCCTCGACTCACTAACTTTGAAAACGTCACCCTACCTAGTACCCATTTTATGTATTTTTCTTTTAGTTCACCACATCTCTGGGACTCCGAGATTTCGTAGGGAGCTTCCGGAAAATTACAATAGTATTCGCAGAAGGGATTAGGGTTTGTCGGTATTTATTTTTTAACCCTAACCCCCCTATTCTACTGGACTTTTCCGAGAACTCCCCGTGAAATCTCACAGTCCCCGAGATGAGATGAATTAAAGAAAAGAACCACAGTTTATGCGGAGCTAATCTGGGACCCAACGACATTTAACAAAAATCTGACTCGATGCGGATTTGAACCCAAGACATTTGGACCAAGCGGTAGTGTCCCCAGACCCGTGTCACTGTTGGAAGTGATTTGAAACCACCTGTTTGATGTTCAGACATAATCCGCATTGAACAATCCCCTTGCAATAAAGGACTTGACTTGTAAACTCGACAACACTTATCAGAAGAATTACACAAGAGAGAACATTGTTTCAAACTCCGTTATCACTGAGGCGCTAACACAAATAACAAATTTTTTAGGACTCAGTCTTCTTAAAGGAGCCATAGAGGTCTGCGGATCGGAAGGTCGTGGGTGCAAATCAGAAAAGCAGACAAACTTTTTATCAAAAATGACCTTGGCTCCAAAGTCTGTCCAGCCTTAAATAGGTAACAGGTAAAGTCCTAGGAAGTAAAGGCAGCCGCTGAGATGCTGACCACAGCACCCACCATGTGCCTATTGGTCTAAAAGATATAGATCTAGCTGTATCAGCCCGATACACCTGAAGGCGCGGGAAATTGTCTTTTACTTTACCAGTGTTCTTCAAAGTGTTGGGGGGGGGGGGGGGGGGTTGCGTGGTCTCGAGACATGGTGTCCGCCTCGAGTGCTAGGGGTGCCAGGTTCAATCCCTTGTAAGGGTTGGGATTTTTTTTACTGTAGGCTTGGACTTCTAGTAATTTCCCCCTGGTGCAGGAGAGCCTAGCATATGATACCACAACATCCAGCTTAAGAATGGAGGTGGAGGCGGTCACTGCAGCTTTCCTCTATCTAGAGAACACGACACACACACACATTGTAATTGTAACTGATTCAGAAAGCATGCTGAGGAAGATCAGAACAGATATGCTTCATGCAGAGTGGCATGCTTCGCTGCGGAGGACACGGGTGAGGAGTATTGTCTGGATTTTTTCACCGGGTCACGCCGGTGTATTGGGAAATGAACAGGCGGACAGACTGGCTGGCTCTGCACAACTTGGTGGAATACTGCTACATGATAGGGCAGACGTGGTTAGTGCCTTGTGGGAGAGCGTGTACAAAGCGGAGGAGCAGATGGGTCACCACAGTCTGGTGAGATTGATGCAGTTGGGGGTGATGAGAGGTTCTGGCAGAAGCTCAAGGAAAAACAAGACGGACGTTTAATCAGAAAGCTACTGGCACCATTAGTATCGGAACTCTTCGCTGGCTGCTGAAGATAGGGACGGAGCGAATATGGGAATGCCCCGAGGGCTGTGATGTCGGATCTTGAATCAAATCAAACCAAATCAAATCCTCCTGGTCTATGGATAGTGAGATCGGACACCTGTGTGCATTGTTGCACACGTAAAAAAAAATCCCTTGACAGTTGGAAATCGAAAAGAGTAGCCTAACGGCGCTGCCCGGACACAATTTGGAGTAAAAAATATACCCAAAGTATTTCAGGATCCTCACCGGTGCTACAGAGCCTGTGCACTGTGCTGAGCGTCTTCAGACTCAGAATTGAGTTAGAAGAAGAACGGAGCACTTATGGGTTACTACCCGTGTGCCATGATGTTGATCCGTTGTTCAAACCTCAAACTTCAAACCTCTTAAAATCGTTTGGGAGCGGGTCCTTACTTCTATGCATACTTAAGCCCGGCTCTCTAGCGTAGTTGGCTAAACAGGATTGCGCGGTGACCGGGTGACGAACTCCTTGTGGTCCGGGTTCACTCCCGGGGGTAGGCAGAAAAGCCACATTTCTCCCAGATTTACGGTATTTACAATGGAATCAAGGCCGAAAGGTTGCGATATCCATAATACCGAGCCTAAGGGTTAACAACTCATGGCTTCTGCATACTAAAACAAACAAACAATATATACTTAAGGGGGGATTTACGCCCCTTTATAAATGATATTGATAACAGCAGACACAAACCAAGACTGACGTTTGTAGGGGGATGTTGTGGTTATGTATGATTTCAGATGGTACTGTGTTCTTTAAAATAAGCTGTTCAAGGAACGTATATTATGAAAACAATACGTCTCATTCCGTATGTTGACCATCTCCTTTAGTTGACCGGTGTGGTGCAGTCCCTTGGCTGGTCAATTTATGGAGGTTGTACTGTGTGTATGTGTGCGTGTAAGTGTGTAGACAGACAGACAAGACAGGCAGACAGACAGACAGACAGACAGACAGACAGACAGACAGACAGACAGACAGACAGACAGACAGACAGACAGACAGACAGACAGACAGACAGCCAGACAGACAGACAGATAACCAGCAATGGGACTAAAGCCGTACCAAAGTTCTTATTAAATCACTTATAGTCATAGAGCCTAACTGTCTTCCTTTGTACGGAGAATCAAGGGACAGTCATAATGAAACCAATAGGGTATGGGCGGGGATAGACCCCCAAAAAGTTTATGTGGGGTGAAGCTCGCAAGAAAAAAAAAGGGCTGGAGGGGGGCGGGGGTAAGCCTTGTTTGAGTAAAACAATACAAAACAAAAAAGAAGAAGAAGATGACCAAAAACTATCATAAGTAGCTAAAAAAAATAGTATATCAAAACTAATATGATACATATGAATAAAAACTAAACAATTATATGAATGTTGTGTGTGGAGGTAGGGGGTGGGGGGAGGTAGGGGGTGGGGGAGGGGTGGGGGAGGCTCCTTATGAATGTTTTTTGGCGGGGATGGAAATTAGCGCCACACCTTTCCCAGACCTTTTGAAAAACTATTTTGTGATTGCTGGTTTTAAGATGCCTCCGGCGACTCTGCCCTTACAAGGATACTCACTTTTAATGATTACGTCGATCTGGTTTTGGAACTGCCACAGAAAGGTAACAGACATTTTGTTTTCCGGCACAAGATTCTTCTCCACCCAACCGCCACAAGCGAACTGGTAGAAGTCATCGCACGGCTTGGCTCCCTGGTCCAGACTGCTGCTAATTCTTGCGGCTGTCGATGATACGATATTGCCACTGTTAGTTCAAGTTTACAATACATGCTTTAGCGGGGCTATGTGGTTATGGTGCATGGTGTCTGCCTTGAGTGCTAGAGGTTTCGGGTTCCATCCCCGGTAAGGGCTGGGATTTTTTCACGTGGACTGCGACTTCTAGTAATTTATCCCTGGTCTATGGGTAGTGAGATCGGACGCCCGTGTGCATTGTTGCGCACGTAAAAAATCCCTAGGCAAAATTTGGAGTTAAAAAGCTACCCAAAGTATTTAGGATCCTCGCCGGTGCTACAGAACTTGTGTACTGTGCTGAGTTGCTTATGGGTTACTACCAGTGTGCCATTATGTCGATCCTTTGTTCGAACCTCAAATACATACATTTGTATATAACATTTTCGTAATGTACGTTTTAAATTCATTACTGCTGAATAGAACGAAATACTGAAAGCGATTCTCCCCCTCCTCCTTTTTCTTCTTCTTTTTCTTCTTCTTCTTCTTCTTCTTCTTCTTCTTCTTCTTCTTCTTCTTCTTCTTCTTCTTCTTCTTCTTCTTCTTCTTCTTCTTCTTCTTCTTCTTCTTCTTCTTCTTTTCTTTTTCTGCCTTCTGTATCCCCCAGTAGAGCATAGACCCTCAACCAACTCACGCCAAGTGGTTCTATCCTTCGCCATTACATGCAGCTCACCGCAGGCTTTCCCCGTTTCTTTAAAGTAACTCTTTAGTCCTTTCTCTGTGGGTTTTTTTTTTTTGGGGGGGGGGGGCGGGGGGGGGGGGGCTCTCTAGTACAAAGACATTCTAGTTATATTGTTCTCCGGTTTTATTAACATGTGTTCTATCCAACGCCCGCGTCTTTTCTTCACCTCTCTATTCACCAGAATTAGTTTAGTTCTGTCCCAAAGCTCAGTAACAGTGATTCTAACGGGTGTTTTGCTAAGAGCAGATCCCAGTATTTCAGCCATAACCCACCCTGATGTAAAATGCTCCACTATAAATAATATTGGTTCCCTCATTACAACTGTGCTTATATGTCCCTTCGATTCTAGACCACCTTTGGCTGTGGGCAGAATGAAGGAATGTCACACGGACCCTTGTGTCCAATTCTCAACACACTGAAAATAAATTACATTTGCCTCATTCGTCATAAAATAGAAAATGTAAACATTCCGGCCAACTAAACTAAGTGTCTAAAGAGAGATATTTTATGGAAGATATTACCTGCAGTCACGCATTCCTCCGTCAAGCAAACAGAACTGGTCGCACTGGACCTTGCATCTGTAAGTAGTATAACAACAAGGAAAATAGATTGTGGGAGAAATAGGGACTTGGTCTAGTCTTGCTTCGATTTTGGGAAAACATCCACTTGCTATTGTCTATACTGGGGAAAAAAAAAGAAAAGGGGGGGGGGTGTGTGGCGCTGTTTGAGTCTGGTCTTGTCTAGCTTGTGGAGGAAGCATAGTCATAGTTGTTGTGTTTAAACTGTAGGGGAAAACACTGTCTTAATGTTGACTAGCCTGTGGGTGGAAATTTTGTCCAAATGTTGTCTTGTTTAGACAGTGGGGGAAAACCTTATCGTAATGTTGTCGTGTCTAGACCTAACTATTTGAAAGAAAAGCATGAAGACTTTGAAAATGGTCCTTTACCATTGTTTTCGTGATCACTGCTACTGTTTCAGTAGACTGGTAGCATCATCATCATCATCATCATCATCATCATCATCATCATCATCAACATCATTAAATTATTCAGCAGCAGTTACAGTAGCAGCAGTAGTAGTAGTCGTAGCAGCAGCAGGAGTAGTATTAGCAGTAGTGGTGGTGGTGGTATAAGTAGTAGAAGCTTTAGCATCAGTAATAGTAGCAACAACAGCAGCCGCAGCAGTAGTAGTAGTAGCAGTAGTAGTAGTAGTAGTAGTAGTAGTAGTAGTAGTAGTAGTAGTAGTAGTAGTAGTAGTAGTAGTAGTAGTAGTAGTAGTAGTAGTAGTAGTAGTAGCACACGTAGTTGTTGCTCTTGTAAATACAGACGGAGTAACAGCCGTATGTAGTGGTAACTGTTGCAGCAGTCGCAGCAAGTGTAGGATGTGTAAGGCGAGAGCTCACGTACCATTCTTGTCGTCATCGAGTGCGTCAATCAGAAGCGCCATCAGCACAATACAGACAACGAACAGCAAGACGCAGACACCACCGAGCAGAAAGGAAGTCTTTGATGGACGATCCTTCCGCGTCTTGCTGTTGAGCAATGAAAAAGGATGTATTCACTTTACATAACGTTATCTTTAATGCAACACTTACATGTAACAGTAACAATAGAAATATGGTGCTTGGGTGCAACAACTTCTGTGTAACAGTAACAATAGAAATAGGGTACTCCAATACTAAAACTTCCAAGCAACAGTAACAATAGAAATAGGGTGCTCCAAAACTAAAACTTCCGTGTAACAGTAACAATAGAAATAGGGTGCTCCGATACTAAAACTTCCATGTAACAGTAACAATAGAAATAGGGTGCTCCGGTACAACTTCCTGGTTACAGTAACAATAGAATGATCCACAATATAACTAAGGGGAATAGTCCAACATGACTGCGATGAAGTAGAAGGAAAAACTCAAATATAACTTAGATGTAAAAGAAAGGGAAAATTCGAATATGACTTAAATGTAGTAGAAAGGGAAAAGTTAGATATGACCGAGATGTAGTAGAATGTGACAAGTCAACCCTAACTCCAGAAGCGAGGTGTGCATGTCATTTATTTAGTTGCCGTTTACACTGTCCACTTTAAAAACAACATCAATTATTTTACTAGTTATTAACTTTTTACTATATTAGGTATACACCACTCGATTTACATCTCGAGCATAACGAAAAGAACGCCTGCTGAATGTTACACGACTCATGCAAAAACTTGACGTATGATGGCTATCAGTTCCTAGTACTACGATGCTAGCTGCGCACGAATGCTCTCAACGGTTGAACGACTAAAAGAAAAATATTAGGTTATATCCTCACCAGTATAATTGTCACCTGCTAACGCGTACGCACGCGAGCTGATCTCGCCTTGCCACTGAACCAGACGCCGTGCAAAGACAACCCCGGCTAGAAGGGGAAAGGTCAAAGAGGATCGTAGTGGACAACCGGGGTTACAAGAGGAAAGGCCATGTACCAAAACTGACATAAACAAGTTAATGCCAGGTCGAACATTTTCAAAGCAGAAAACTCTATAGTGCTTTTCAAAAGTCGTGCATTCACGCTTTATCAAATATCTCGACAAATTATGTACGGATCGACATGAATTTTTGCATGTGGCCTTATATATCCCATGTTCTTACGATTGTATAATTCGTAATTGCACGGGTGCTGCTGCTTTCTTAAAGCGGCAAGTTTTATAAAATCGTGGACAAACAATTTTTCTTCCAACAAAAATAGAATGGACAGTAACTGACACACGCGAGGAGATTGTTTGCAAATCATTTCGCATGTACAGCGATGCAAGGTGATTATTTTAAAAGCCTATCCTGCATACAACTCATTGGAGGCTAATGCTGGGGAGTGAAATCTGATGTTTTGAAAAGTTCCCGTTACTCAGTTTACTGTAAGCATGCGGAAAGTTTGATTTGAATCGGTGTCGGTTTTCCCCCACATACCTTATATAAGATGTGGGGTGGGGGGGGGGGGGTCGGCGTCTGTGGCATAGGCTTACGAACGCGCTTTGTAATTCCAGGATGCCGGGTTCAATCCCAGCTGCGGGCCTTGCGTTGGTTTCGACAGTAGTATCGAGAAGCCGACCGTCCAAAAAGCAATGGCAAACTGCTGGACGTTAATTTGTCTAGAAAAACCACAACAGCCAAAACATGCTGGGGTTGGTTCTGCAACGTCCTGTAAAGGATACACAACTAACTTTTTTTAAATATAAGGCAAAATAAAAATTAAGTGTTTTACATTAAAATATGTTCTTACAAGCACATAATTATTAACAGGTTGCAAGCCAAATTTAATATTTTTTTTTTTTAATTGCACCGAACGTTTAATGAGATGCAGATTTTTAAAGTTTGACTTGACTTTTGTAATGGATTATAATGTTTACATACCCTGCAGCAGCCGATCTCCTCCTGCCTTCTGGGGTAAACTCGTACACGTTACCAGTGTTCCCGTGTTTTTCTTCCGGCTTCATGCTAGCCAATTGACAATTATCACTTCTTGTAGCTTTGCTGCAGAGAAACTGATGCCTGCTTTACTGAGTCCGAAGTTTTCAGGTCAAAGGCTAGGTAAAAATTTCAGCAATCAATTAGGATTTATTTAAAAATAAAAAATAAAAATAAAAAACAGGTCACGCAACAGTTTTCTCAATGCTGAATCTCCAAAGCTCACTCGGAGGATGGGGAAATCCCTGTGGACATAGTTTTTTGGTGAATACAGATGCGTAGAGGCTGTTGGTACAAGAACCTATTGCACAGCACCTGCAAGCAAGTTAGAGGAAAGATTCTGAGATGATGATTCTGTCCGCATTTAGTAGATAGTAACTGGAGCACATACAGAATGGAGCTGTGTGGGTGATCCTTGGATGTACAAGAGACACCCAGGTTATGTCCATACGATACATCCTTGCATTGCCGAGTTTTGTAGATAAGCTAACGGTGCTGCAGGCTAAATCATACCTCAGAGTAACTGCAGACAAAGAGCACCCTCTGTGTGAAGCTTTGGATGCAGCTAAGAATTAGAGACTGAAAAGGGGGAAATCAATGATGGTTTAAGCAGAAGACACAATAAGACAAGTATGCATGCAAAAGAACATTGAGGGAGGAAAGGAGCGGGTTGGAGTACCAGAAGAAAAGTCTGAACTGTGTAGGGTCATTATCACATTGGGCCGTGAGAGCAGAGAATAGCCAGCAGGGGCTAGGGAGGTGAAAGTGTAACAGCTGATTCACGACAATTCTCGTCCAGATGATCTGATTGATTATCTATACAGACGGTTCTGTGTTGAGAAGGGGGAGGAGGGAGAGAGAAATGCCTGAGGGTTCCTAGCGAAAACCAGCGGCAAATCTTTAGTGCAGGACAGCCTAGCATACGATACCGCAACATCTATCGTGAGAATGGAGGTGGAGGCGGTCACTGCAGCTTTCAGGTGGCTAGAGAACAAGAAGCATACACATGTCATAATTTTAACAGACTGAAGGGGTGCTGAGAAAGGCGAGGACAGGGTTGCTTCGAGCAGAGAGGCAAGCTTCACTTGAAAGGTCGCGGATATTGAGGATACTTTGGATATTGTCTTCAGACAATGCTGGCGTTGTGGGGAATGAACAGGCAGACAGACTGGCTGTGTCTGTACTACTGGGTGGTGAATTGATACATGACAAGGCAGATGCGGTCAATGTCCTTTTGGAACAAGTAAGGAAGTCAGTAGAAAAACTGGATTATGATGGCCTGGAGAGAATGATACACTTGGGTGTGACCAGAAGGTCTGGCCGGCACACTGCACCTCGAGGAAAGGCAAGACGGACATATAACCAGACTACGACTGGTACCTTGACTCTGAGGTGGACCCAGCGTTGGGAAGTAAACGCAGCCGGCGTGAAGTTGACCACATCGCCCACCGAGTGCAGATTGTTATATTCAAGCAGTTGCCTAATTAGCAGCAGCAGCATCACCAGCAGCAACAACATCACCAGCAGCAGCAGTAGTAGTATTAGTAGTAGTATAAGTAGAAGTAGCAGCAGTAGTAGTTGTAGTAGTAGTAGCAGCAGCAGAAGACAAAATAAGAAGATAATAATGATGACTATGACGACGAAGATTACAAAAGTACTAACCAGACACTAACAACAGTCGCAAAGAGACAAGAGCCCAACAATATATCAGTCAGGTCATTACACAACAATCCTTTAGAAACGATTAAAACCAAATTGCTGCAACAGTTAAAGGCGCTGATACTTCAACCTTGTCTCTGATTGGACTATTTAAATGTTTGTATGAGTGTATGTGTGTTTTTTGTGTGTCTGTATGTGTCTGTGTGTGTGCGCGCGTGTGTGTGTGACCGAATAGGTATGACACTGAAGTCCTAGGCTTGTGCTGTACAGATGACACCAACGTATTTTGATCTGGCGAAACACAATGACACAAGCAATGTGTCGGAGGTTAATAAAATCAACAGGGTAGAGCTTATTAAAATAGCAGAAGACTATGCAAAATTTCTTTGTCAACTAATGTGAAAGAAGAGATATCTGAATAGCTATAAAGTTCCAATCCTGATTTACTGAAGTGAATCATGGACAGATAACCGATCAGCGAAAAAAGTATGCGGAAGAGAGTAAGGAGATGAAGAATAGAATAGCACAAGCCAAAACTGCATTGTATAAAATAAAGAACATTGTATGCAATAAATCCAAATCATCAGAGGTTAGGAAAAGAATTCTGGCAAGCTATATAGAGCCAGGTTTTCTCGGCTGTGAAGCGTAGACAATTCATAAACAAGCCGAACAATATTTTGAGTACTCCAAGATGTGGTTTTACAGAAGAATTATTAGGATTCCTTGGAAAGCTAAAAAGAGCAGCCTAGATGTTTTAAAAGAGGCGAGTGCTTGAAGACAACTTATCACAAATATCAGAAAGAGACAGTCATCATTTTTTGGTTAAGGTTATTTGCGTATCCTTTACAGGACGTTGCAGAACCAACCCCAACAGCCCCTGATTTTTCTAGGCACATTTACATCCAGTAGTCTGTCATTGCCTACTGGACGGTCGGCTTTCTTGATACCACTGTCGAAACCAACGCAAGGCGCAATGCCCGCAGCTAGGATCGAACCCGGCATACCGACATTATGAAGCGTTCGCATCGACTTAGCCACAGAGCCGACTTTTGTTATGAGAAGAGGGAAAAATGGAACATGTTGTAACCACTGAAAAGAATTGTGGAAAGAGCGATAGAAGAAGCCCCCCCCCCCCCCCCCCACCCCCCACCCTTGGGTGTTCAGCGTCTGCCAGATTCTATGGTCACTCCTCGCTCCGCTATTCTCTCCCAGACTGTGACGATTTATTTGTGCCCCGCACTATTCACTGGGAGCCGGACTTTTTTCAAAAATGACCTTGACCCCCAGGTCCACCCAGCCTTGAGTGGGTACCGGGTGCAGTCGCAGGAAGTGGATGCAGCCACCA